AATGATCTTGAGAATAAATAGTTTCCTGAATACTATAACGAACGTCTGAAGAGACCGAAGATAATCAATTATTACAATTCTTACACGCATCGCGTGTCAATTATATTAAATGCTCGGTAGTTCCACTGTTAAGAAACCGAAACGGGGCGTCGATACAAAAAGGACTATACACTAAGGCTGACAAATAAGTTTGTACAAAAATGCATTTCAATTCTCCCGTTCGTTTGTCAGTCTACTCGCGACATACGGTGAGACTTGCCTCGGTAATGACGTATAATACAATTCCCTCCCTTTTTCTTTCCTCCTCGATTCGCGAGGATCGAGAGGCTTCGACAGCGCGGTTTCCACGTGACTCGGAAATCGAACAATCTTAGGTTCCGTCAATCCTCGATCCTCTTTCGCACGTTGCCGTCGTCTTTTGTCGACGACTCTCGACGGACCGTAAAAGAGTTCCGTCTCGCGTTTCTCGCTTGACATTCAGTATAAATATATTTCTCCGAGCGTGTGTCTTTGTGTCTGTGTGCGCGTGTTCTTGTACGCTTCGTCGTCCGTGCGATTCATCCTTTCTCCGGAAAGGCCGTGCGAACGATCGTGACCCCTGATCGGTACCGGTCACGACGTCGAACCGCGATCGAATCATTCCAAGTGTGAACGAGAGAGAACCAGAGACAAAAGAATCGCTAATCTTTTTGTGCGTATCTCGGGACGGGTTGTCGCGTCGTTTAAACTTAGTCGTACTAAAAAAAGAAAAAGAAAAAGGGAATAGTTATGTACACCAGGCGCGAATCGAATCGTCGGGAAGCGAACGTGTCGGTGAAATGCAGAATTCCCTAGGCCGAATTACGCTTGACCTGCTCCGTTGGTAATTTAAACGGACTAATTAGGCGGGCGGTTTAACGAGCACTCGAAACAATTGAAGAATACGGGGAAGTGAGACATTATTTATAGAATTTGTAAATTTTTGGGACCTTAGCTTAGTGTCCTTTATAGAATTTGCAAATTACTGGGCCTGTAGTTTAGTGTTCTTATTTATAAAATTTGCAAATTTTTGGGACCTTAGTTTAGTGTCCTTATTCATAGAATTTGCAAATTTCTGGGCCTTTAGTTTAATGTCCTTATTTTGGGCCTTCATTTTAGTGTCCTTTTTTCAAGGGACACTATATATTAACACGTTGACTGCCACGGTGGTCACCTGTGACCAGAGCTCCCAAATTTCTTGAAAACAATTATAAGAAGATTGACACTGAACCAAAATATTTAGTAACAAGAAGCTAGAGAATAGTCTTATATGTGTACTGTAATACTAAAGCATTAATAATTATTCCTCATACTATTTTCCTCTTTATAAAGGAATTAACCCTTCGCACTCGAGAGGTGACTCTCAGTCACCACTTGATTTGACGCAGTAAAACTACAAAATTTGATATTCAACATTGAATACATCAGTGTCTGAAATATTGGAATAAAAAAGCTTTCTCAATTTACTTGTGCTTTCTCTTTAAGTTCATTTAAAAAAACATCGTCTCTGTCCAGTTAGAAAATGTTAAATATTTCTAGCAAAATACCTCCGATTATTATTATTTCAATGAAACAATATTATAGTACTATTTTAACCAAATTGCACTATAACAAAACGCTCGAAATTCTCGTGGCAGTCATCGTGTTAAGGAATACGCATACACGTGTTCCGATTAGATATATGAGTATCATTTGGAGATGCAATTATTCCAAATAATATCCTTCAATTGTTTCAAGTGACTTCACCCCAAGCTCAGCTTGGAATGTAATTACAAATGTTCGAGTAATTGCGTCGTTGGTTTAAACATAATTTCCTTGATACTGGAACCTTCACGCATACAGTGGTTCGTTAATAATGTTAATGTGTGCACTGACCGCGCTGAGTACATATGCTTCGACACATGCGGCAACGTGGAATAAGTAGCGAAATGTGTTGGATGTCTTTAGGCCAGAAGATACCCCCACCGCACACCGTTAGGCAATATTTATTCTCCCGCTGTCTATTCCTTCACTCCATTCCTTCGCGACCGCGCAGCCTGTGCCATTGTCTCTCTTATTAGGATACACTCTCCATCCTCAATAGTCGCGAGACTCTCCGGTACCAAGCGCCGATTTATATTCATAGCATAAAAGTGTAACAGAACTGAAGAATGGAGCGACTTGGACTAGTTAGGAACTTTATCGGGCACTATCAACCTTCGGCTCTCCGTGCGAGCATCGATGCTCACAAACGCACTGAACTGAGCATCACACTTGAAACAATACGCGATCCATACCCAAGCCACGATCCAACAATTTCATCGTTAGCCGACCAGCATCCTTCACAGATGTACTTGTATGAACACGTCGATACAATTAAACAAAGTACGCATATACCGCTGAAAAGTAGCGTCAGCGAAAAGAGAGATTACCAGAAATATGTCACTCGTATCGAAGTGAATCATTCGGAGACATCGCGTCTGTCGAGGCCAGTTAACGGAGCAGTCGAGCAAGCCTCAAGAAGGAACGAAACCAAGCTGGCCGGAACTTTCGCCATCCTCGCCGGAAACGAAATACTTGCGGGCAATTTGGGATTCCCTGGAAATCAAGGAAGGTCTCTTGCGCAGGAAATGGGAATCTGCCGATGGGAAGCAAGTTCCTTGGCTTCTGGTTGTGCCGAGGAGCAAGATTGAAGAGGTTTCGAAGCAATGCCACGACGCACCATCGGGTGGCCATTTTGGAATCAAGAAGACGCTGGTCGAAGTTCGTCGGAGATTCTTCTGGTTGGATCACTGGAAAGCCGTCGACGAGTGGTGTCGACGATGTTATACTTGTTCGGCGAAGGAGGGCCCCAAAGAGAGGGGAATAGGGGCCATGAAGGTTTACAATGTCGGGGCACCATTTTGTCGCGCTCGACATTGTGGGTCCCTTGCCCAGGTCTTCGGTCGGAAACAGGTACGCGCTGGTTGTAGTAGATTATTTTTCGAAGTGGCCGGAGGTGATCGCGCTACCAAACCAGCAGGCGACAACGATTGCAAGAGCGTTGGAACAGGTGATCAGCCGGTACGGAGTGCCGCTAGAGTTGCACTCTGATCAGGGTCGGAGTTTCGAATCTTCCATCTTCAAGGAACTGATGAAGATGCTGGGGATAGAAGACAAGGACAACTCCCTTACACCCTCGGTATCTGTCCCAGTTTGTTTCGGAACATCAGAAAGATTGGGACGAATGGACTCCAACGTTTCTTCTCGCACTGTTGGAGTTTCATACAAAGTATAGTGGAACAAAAGATTGTGGCATTCGACGCGGACAGCCACGAGCCTAGCGCAGCAGCGCGGACCGTGGAGAGAGTCCGTCGTCTGTTCGATCGTCAATTGTCTCCAGCGTGGATCCCAAAAAATGTA